TGTGAGTATTGTTTTTTTTTCATAGAGAATATCAGTATCCGGTTCTAATTTCATCGAATTTACACAAAAAATGGCATGGAGATGTTAATTTTTTATGCAAGAATAAATTTTGCTTTTATTGATTTTCATAGTTTAAAATACTTGTTCACAAATATAAGTAGAATCCAATGTACAAAATCTATTAAGATAGATTTGAATAGAACTCAACAAGATTTTTGTTGATAATTTTGATGCATCATTGTTTTGCAAGTACAATAAAATCTTCTGTTTTTAAAGTATATTTTTTAATGAAATGTTTCAATTTGATTTGAAACTTTGGCGGATTGGTTAATAAATTATCACGGGTCATAGTTAGTCACCACATATGTGTGTGTGTGTATACGTAAGAAGTAGTGCTAAAAGGTAAATTTTACAAGAAATATAGAGCGGGGGAAAAATTGAGCACTAAGACGGAATGGAAAAAAAGTTCCACGAAACGACTTCAGGAAATAATTCATAAAAATGTTAACTCAACCCAATTTTAAGGTGCAGGAAAATGGTCATTATTTTTCTAATAACCCTGAAAGTTTTTACGCGGAGGGTAATATATTAATATATTTATGTGGATTTATACCATATATATATATATATATATATATATATATATATATATATATATATATGTAGTCCAACTACATCGGTTTTGCGCGGAAAAAGTGATCGACTGAGTAATCGTGCGAAAATATACGAATGTGTGGGTACTACCCTCCGAACCACCGTGACGCCATTTAGCCTTAGAGATCCAGGGAAATCGTCATGTCGGTAATTAATAAAAATAAAAATAAAGACTTTGTAATATATGATGACGATGTACACTGTTGGGTTCTTAATCGTTTCTCAACGTTCATAATAAACTGACCGTTATTTACACAGCACGCGGAAAAATTACTATTACTACACCTACGGTTTTAACCATGTCGAGCGGCTACTAATTCTGGTGCTGCAGCCACCAACGTATACCCCCTCAAACAATCAGCGACTGCATCTGATTTTATACATGCATATGGTAGCGGGTCATCGTGCTCATTCACCCAGGAAAACTATTAGATCTTTGCAATAGTTCTGTACGTATATTTTTTTTAAACGAATATGTTGGTGGCGGAATTATATTAACAACAATGATACAATACACAAATAAATAGTGTATACATAGAAATAAATAAATAGATAAATGCTTAGCCTGGAGTATTAAACATTAGTATTGAACGACCGGTTTCGAATTTAAATCATCAGGTACGCAAAAAGCCAATAAAATTGCAACTGGCTACGAAAAAAACAAAAGAAGGAATAATATTAATATTATCATTTTAATAATCATATATCATTTTTTCATATGCATTTCGTTCTCAGATCTCCATGATAAATTTAGGATACTTACATGTAAAATGTCTACTACACGCATCATACATTATGGCAATTATATTACAACGTGTTCTTAAAAGCAAACATTGACCAACTTAAAGACTTTAATTTTTAGCTTATACTCCAGGCTATTTATTTCTATAAATAAACTATTAACTTTTATATTAAAATACAAATATTAAAAATATACTGATTTTATTTAATTTATAATTATACACGTGTGTGTATGTGTGTGCGTGTGTTTGTGCGCGCGTGTATGCACGTGTAGACGAAGACGATGGTCATATTTTTATTTTATAGGGTACTTTGAGACAATAGAAGATTTCAACACGCACGATGGGCATGACGGTGATAATGGGCGGGAATAAAACAGAGAAATAAACGATGGGCTCGCAAAAATTGAATTCGTCGAGAAAAATAATAATAATATGAACGAGATTCGGCCCCGTAGTTTACGGGCGTATAATGTATTATTACGAGCGCGGAAAATAATGCCCCGAAGCGCCCGATTTACAACAGGGGAATAAATACGGACGATTTATTATTATTATAAACTGTACGGATGTTTCTGTGTTTCCCGAGATCACATGCTGCGGCGTCTATTTGGCCTCTGTTCGTTTTGTCACATTGTTGCCGTCGTCCGGCTTTTCGCCGCCCGAAACGTTATTATCACAATGCGTGTTTTCGAAAAAACATTGTCAGACGTTGTCTGCAACGGCGCGAACGCGGCGTGGCGCCTAGCTAATTTGACGACTACACAACTAAATAATACGTACACACGTGCTTGTAATAACGAAGCCGATCGATGAAAGTCCATTTAGACGCGCGCGTATGTGTGTGTGTGTGTGTGTGTGTGTGTGTGTGTGTGTGTGAACGTGTACATACGGAAGGATGGGTTTTTCCTGTAAATTCGGACCACTTTTACCCCGCTGAGTGGCCATGTCGGATGCGGTCAGATTTTGACACCGCAATTAAAATCCACTTTGTTCGACGCCACCGCGGACGAAAGAGGACTTTTATTATCTATATGATATACATGTACACGAGCGTAACGTGATGGGGCGGACTATCCCATTGTGCTGAACTACATGAAATACGAGCTCGTGTTTGGTTCTATTCGTTTCTTGAATACCATCACCATCGACGTCTCTACGAAAATAATGACATGAACACGCAGAGAAATAGAAATGCGAGCAAAGGTTTTCTCGAGATTTCAACGATTGTTCGTTTAATTGTTGATTTCTAACAATCTACGTAGAGGCTGCAAGTCGCGATAGTCGTGGTCTAACAGTCTCATAACATTTGAACGACAGGAAAAACAATTCGTTTCGAATGATCCGTGTAGTAAAAGTTAAAAAAAATTGCAGGAATTTCGAAAAAGCAAACGATAGTAACGAGCCAGAAATAAATTAAAGTTTTAAATTAAGTTTAAGTTAATATAAATATAAATATAATATATATATATTATAAATATAATATATAATATAATAAATATAATATAAATTAAGTTTCTTTTTGATTTTACTTTTTCTTTATTAATCCTATTTCCGGAACAAATAGCGCTGGATTACGATGTGTATTACATTATTCAAGGCGAGGGATGGTAGTCAATTTTATTTGAAGAGGTTAATCCTCAGAGCGCCCACTTTATATTTCGTATTCGGATCACGGAGGTAAAATATTATGACGTATATTGTGTTCATACAATATAATATTATGTACTGCAGGTATTACACGATGATTGGTGGATGGCACGTGAACGTTTTCCGGACATAAAAATATTTTTATTACGATACATTATTTGTATCGAAAACAACGATAAACGCATGTGTAGGTACATCGTATTCGAGTCTATATATTATACAGTACGCGGACAGTACAAATTTCTACGAACTTTAAAAATTGAAAATGCTCGAAGTTTGCAGTCGGAAATATATCAGCCGTAGACGTAACATATGTGGGGGTGGAAAAAAAGATAAATATTTATTTTACGAGTTATTAAACTAAGCGGAATAATGTCACGATAACATGCGTTCGTTTGAATGCAACTAGGGTGTAAGCAGAAGGTTCGTTATTCTGAAAATAAATCCCAGTATGAATATTTTAAAATTCGTTATTTTACCCCGTCTCGTCTCGGCTCACGGTATAATACGATACAAAGGTAATAATAATATAAAACTTTGTGAAGGCAAGTAATTTCGTATACACTAGTCGAATGCATACAGTGCAGGTACTTATAATAATAATAATATAATAATAGTTAACGGTTCTATAGTATAACGGCTACGTTACTTTGCTGCAACCACAATTGTATGATTTATGAACTCCACGCGTTATTTTGTTTAAATTCGATTTACTATACTTGCTTTTAATTCGACATTTGATACTTGAACAATGAAATACAAATGTGTAGAATGGTATAAACTTCATCTACTCGGATTTTAAGTTAAACAAAAGAACAAAGTTACACCGAGAAATCGAAGTAAAATAACAAATTCTATTTGTATATAAAATCATTTAACGGTACTTCATGACGGTTATCAAATAAAAACTAAATTATAGGCATATTATACTACGCGTTATATGAATTATATTATTTCGACCCCTGGAAAAATATTTTCTAAACACCGTAGTGATATGTTATTATGTCAACAATTAGTGGAAAGTAAATATGAATTTAAATTTACTGTGTTTGAAATTCCGTATTTCTAAATTTCGAATCGAAGATAATATTATTTCAACATAGCTAAATTATACTATAATATATATTTATATATAAATACCCCACAATGAGTAATTAAATGATTTATGGAAACTATGAAAACTTATACACGTTTGGAGAGAACAAAAACGGACATTTTTATTTCGGAAAATATAGTTTTTATGTAAATCGAATGATGTAAAATAAAAGTCCCTTGAACGATGACTTTTAGAGAAATAAAAGGAAATAACTGTGTTTTTTTATTGCATTAAATTTCTTAAAAGTCGTATTTTTAAGTTATATTTGGTTATTTTTTTTTTTAGGCATATAATAATATGTAAAGAAGCTTGTGTCTCCTAGGAATTTTGGACGCTTTCCCACTCGTTTCGCGTGTTCGGTGACAGCGTTGTCTCGAGGCCAACAAAAGTTAATAGTGTTTTGAATTCAGTAACTTTTTTAAAATTCTCTAGGGCATAATATTCTAACCATTTTGATTACACTCAATGCCACTTTATCTTACTACTTTCATCACCGTATACCTGGTAACATGTATTGACCATCACAAGAACAATCACATTGAACTGATACCTCTTACTGGGTACCTTGACAAAAGAGTGGTGACAATTTCCCATCGATTACATTTTTTTTTCATTCTTTTTACAAATATTTATTCATGTATATAACGTATTCTTTTACTCCTTATAATACAAAAAATGAAGCCAATGCTTATCGTAAATATAAAAGTTTTCAGACATTCAATGTACATAATACTATTATATATAATAATTTTGTAAAAAAAAAAAAATAAATAAAATGTTAACTAAATGAATTATATCACATTCTGAATAATGTCAAGAACGGTATAAGATTTAGGAAATAATATAACGTAAATGCGTACCTTTTACGGCATTTAATTTGTTTCCAACCACTTGCTTCGCCACAAAAGCCGCCATTATGCTTCAATGCTTCTGTAACAAAAGATAATATAATTTGTTAAGTTCTGAAGAAAAATTATAACAAAATTGATTTCACACTATGACGATCATTGTAGATTATTTTTTTTTATTCAAAGAATGCAAAAGCCTAGCGTTATTTTCACATAACAATTTTCCATAAAATAAGTCGAACATTGACAAAGATCAAAATATTTTCAAAAACAATTATATTATACATATATTGATAAAGACGCATAAATAAAGTTGAACACGAAGGGGTGTAGTCAAATGAAATATAAAGTTTTCTCTAAAAATTAATGTTTAGTTTGAAGCTAATTTTATATTTTTGCTAACGATGTAAAGTTGAATAAAATAGCAGCTATCAGAATAAAATAATAATTATGATTTTATAAATTATATCAATAATAAATTAATATGCTTAGTTTAAAGTCGTAGACATGTTAATGCTATATTTAAATTATAAAAAATTTATATTTGTTGTGCAGTGAAACGGAATAATAATACGACAGGTACCTGTTTACATGTTATTCTGACATTGAATAACTAATACTAAATAATATAAAAAACAAATGGCGATTAAGTTTAGGGTATCTGTATTATGGGAAAATGTACATAACTCTGCGTAGTGTATAAGCCATGCGATTTTCGACAGTATATATATGATTTGATATGTCATTATGCAAAATGTTGCCAATTGATACGATGTGTAATAAATTATAGTTTAATATAAAAATGTTACGAACAATAATGTAGCTATAAATTACAGAGAATAAATTGTGATGTAATTCCGTTGCAGTTTGAAATAAAATATGACACAAAAATGTAAATAGACGAATGCTTATACAAGTAGTTTAGTTATTGTAAGGATCCACATTATTTTTTTTTTTCATAAATATATTATCTAAATTGTATGATTACAAATACATCAATAAATATAATATGTGTATACTTTCAATCAAACCATTCTGATAAAAAAAATCGATGTAGAATACGTTTCAATACTAACATTACTAAACTGACTTATAGGTAAAAAAAATATCGAACAAATAGAAAGTTTTATCATTTTTTGATATCACGTTACGATCAGTATGATGAGCTTATACAAAATATGAATGAATTCGTACATCATTATAATATGTTTTCATGGTATGTTAGACATTTTTTTTCGCATTTAATAAACCTAATTTTTCAATAAACTTAACTGGACAATAGTGTGTGCATACATTATAATACAACATAAACGTAGACACAAGACGTTTCATATGGTAAGTATGAAGTTTTGCGATATTTTTTATTGCCAGCCGAGCTTCTGAAGTAGCCATCGGTCGATAGTAAAACGGCGGAAGAGGCATAGGTAGCAAATTTTAACGTCGAGTAGGATTTACTGGCATACAAATACCAAGGACGCTATTTCTGACGACAACGGTACAAACGTTTGTTTCCGAAATTTCACGTCACACGTAAGCATTTAAGTAGTTACATGTAAGAATCAAAGCGGTGACATCAAACGCGCCGTGTGGGGAAAATAATAATTGTCAGAGGATTTTTAAAAACCTTTGCCAAGATGGGAGTAATCTAAAAGTAAGGTAAAGTTATGATGGATGCAGGAATACGGTATAACATGTGTGAGTATTTAAGTTAAATATCAGGTTTTTTTTTTTTTTTTAAGCAACTTGTTTCTCTCTCTCTCTCTTTCTCTCTACATATTTCTTTCTTTATTATTTCTTCCGTACTTTAGTATTTTACGGAAAACTATTCCTACCTCTCTAAAACATAAAGTTTCGTGTTAAAACGTAGATGGTTTTCTCTCAGACAAGTGTCTATCTATATGCATGTCAATTGTAAACACTGTTTTCCCGAAAACGCTCTATTGTATTTATTAACCAAAATATTTACAGGTGTGAGTGAAGTTGGCGTTGTGTCTTGTGCTCGGACGCGTTTAGGGATAAGAGTGTAAAGATATCTTATCTACTCACGCGATACCACGGTCAGGGAGGTAACAGTGTTATGAAAAGAGTAAGGATATGAGAAGGAGAAAATAATACGGGATAAAATAACCATCAAAGTTTCGTCGTAAAATATGGTTCTCATAATTTCTCGTCCACCAGCAGTTACACTCACATTCAGTAACAGTTTTCATACTAAATAATATATAAATAATATTAAGTGGCTGAAAGTGTATTATTATAATATCTTTCCCATACAAATGCCGAATAAACTTCGGGGCACATCATGTACACGCGGGAAACGGTTGTGTGTACGCGATTCAAGGAGGCAAACGGTATTAGCATTTCCGTCGCGACGACAATAACATGTGGTGGAATGAAATATGTTTATACATTACGTGGTGATATTATTATAATGCGTGTCCCGTATACTTGTAGACGGTGTGTATTATAATATTACCGACATATTATTATGTATCTATGGAGTATACGTGCACTTTTCCCGCGACATCCATCCACGTTCAGCATCCTGTAGCCGCGTCGTATTTCTTTCTTCTCCTGATTACTACGAGTTATATAATATGATTTGTCCCGTTAGATTTCTCGGGAGACCTTAACACCACTAGCTGCGCACTAGTCTTGCCGCGCGTGCTGCACACATCTTAATCGTTCACCAAAATTATTCAAATTATTATGCAAACCTTTACCGTCGCCGACGGGTCGTCCTCATGCTCTAACTCGCGAACGGCACTTACCCCGCAACGACCGCGCACTAATCGCATCAAACCGTAACACTATCGTCTGCAACGTAAACCGATACCGTTTCATCGTTATAACAACATCACCATCGCTACAGCCGTATTATAATACAATATTATAATTTATCCCTGGGGGTTGTGGAGGCTCACAGCATTCACCAACTTACTTTTCCGAGGTGTTGAAAAGAAAAAATATACCGTCTCTCTCTAACACCGACGCGATGAGACAATCGATTACGAATAATAACTAACACGGTCGGTCTTGTTATTATCAGCTCCGTCTTGCCACCACTTCCGTTACGAACCGCGTTCGAGCGCGACCAATCGTATTCGAACTTTTGTTTCTCACATCCTTCCGCAGCGCATACCATGTGTACACTAACACACGTGTATATCAATGTACAATATCTAGTGGAGTATACGTGATAATGTGTGTAACATGCTCCGGCTATCTGTCAAACCTAAAATTAACATGTGAGGCATGCACAGATGACGTTTTGTTAATATTAAACGGCGTCGCAATATATATTTACAAACTAACCCATGCTCACTTTTCTAGGTGTCAAACTTTTTTACTTGCGATGAAATTATACTGTGTGATTCTTAGTACTGGGTGTTTAAGATTTATTTTTTTTTTTATTATATAATATAGCTGCGACTATATACATGATATCCGCTTTGCTATTGCTATATTTTTCATAAGTATATTTGACCCGGTGAACTTTTTATCGCCTACAATTTAACCTTCTTTTATACATATAGCTATTCTACATGTACATCGTTCCGCATTATAATCGATGTACGGGTTGGATTACTATGTTTTAATATTTTTTTATTTCTTTTATTTTAGAAACTTTTTTTTAAATAACACAGTTATCTAGTAAGGTAATAATAAACTACTTTGTGCGTCATTAGAATGTCATACGATCTTTTTTGTAATATTTATTTAAATTAAATACTATATAAATTTTTTTAATTTAATTGAATACTTCAGAGTAAATAACATTTTTGGTTTTCAAACAATCTGGTAAAATTATAAACTGATTTTACGGTTTACCTGTTATTGATAATTTCACACATAACTGTCCACATGAAAAACAGCCAGAGCGCAAATAAATATCAACACATTCAAATGTTTGGCCTTGAGCCTTACTAATTATAATAGCGGATGAAACCTAAATGGGGAATTGAAGTTTCTTAAGCTGGAGAGGTAAATCACTAGGAATCATAGGTATACGGGGTATTAAGGCTCCCGCTGTACAGTATTATCACTGTCACCGTAACGTGTTTGACCATAGCGCGACGAAAATACATATTTTATTATTAATTTTGGATATCCAATAAAATTTTCCCAGTCGTATTATACATTAAAATCATCGTAAGGCAACCAATTATAAAATGAATAAGTAAAACAAACACAAAAAAAATCTAAAAAAAAAATGGAAAAAGTTAGGTCACCAAGACCGTGTTTCGAATTCGAAACACTAGAATCTATAACCATATAAATACATCGGATTTCGACTAATATTATTTAAGTTATAGGTATAAATCCCTAATTAAATGGTGAAAGAATTTTTGAAATTGGTACAATGGTTTTTGAGATTTTTGCAAACAAACGAACAAACACAGCCTCTTTATATACGAGTAAGATGAGATGAGATATACAACGGTGTTCCGTACGCGTGCACCATTATCATACACATAAATACACCCGTGGTGTTATATTAGTAACAACTCGTGTACAGTTTACCCTCCCACGCATATTATATTTATACAAACACTGTCACGTGTTGTTGGCCCGTACATCACCGTATTACGTATGCATGTAAATAAGCAGCTTGCACAACGTTTGGCACCAAACTATACATATTTATACGTATAATTATCGTCACAAACTTATTGTGCACCCGCACGCACGTGCGATATAATATATACAAATCAAATGCACGGGATTGAACACCAAATGTGTTTGGCTCCACCGTGCACCCAAACGTTTCAGAGCTATACATCCGTATATTGTTTTTCCGACTATCAAACGATATTTTGTTTATGTATACGCACAACAAAACGTGGGTTCTTTCCGAGTTCCATACTTCCAAACATTTTTTTTTTTTCAGGAAAATCACAACACCGTCGTAGAGTGATGGATATTCAACCGTTGGAGTATTGCGCACAAGGAAATGTTTCGTAAAAATCATTATCAACCTTCCTGGGGTGCAGGGGAGAAAGTAAATAAGTTTTACTAAAACGTAGTGTCGTAGTCACATCTATAGGGGACGTTCAGATACATTTCTCTACAACACAACAT